TTTAAGAAATAAATAAAATTAAAATGTAATCTCATCCTTGCTTCATTCGTTCACTCATTCATCCCGTAATTAGTAAAGCACCTACCTCGTTAAAGTGCTGTCTGAGGTGCTGGAGAGGTGACAAGTGTTTAGGAATATGAAATACAGTTCAGTGGGAGGAAGCTTTGGTCTCAGCAAAACCTGGATTCAAACACAAGCTGGACTAGGGGTGTCACTTTGAACAAGTCTTTTCACCTCTCTAAGCCTCCATTTCCTTTTTTCAAAAGAGCTTTCTTGAGATGTAACTCACACACCAAGCAGCCCCCTCACTGAAAGTTCGCTGCATGTAGCTCACTGAGCTGTTTAGGATGTTCGAAGCCGACACCACACCCTCATCATGGAGCATTTTCATACCCCTAATAGGCTGACGTACACAATAGCAGTCCCTCCCCATCAACTTCCTTTTCTGGGGGGAAAAATGGGGGGCAGAGGGCAGGGAGTACCTAGCTGATAGGCCTGTTACAAAAAATAAATAAAATACATCCAAGCATCCAGCCTGGCCCTCGACAGGGACTCATCACATGTCATTCAAGTAAACGTCAAGGCAAAATCTCACAGAAAGAAGCAAAAAGACCAGCTACGCTAAGCAAGTGTCAGAGGGGGGCAAGTCCATCCCAGCACCCAGGAATATACTCCGGTTCCCATCCTCGGAGCATATCCCACAAGCCACGGTCTCCCTCTAATGCTCCTGAATACAGAAAAATCAGGTATGCAGCCCAAAAGCACGCTTTTTGGCCCGGCCGGCGTGGCTCAGTGGGGCTCTTTCACGTTTGTCCATTTTCCTTCCTCTTTCTCGCGGGGAGCAAGGAGGCAGCCAGAGGGCTTGGGGGCTCCGCGGGGCCGGGAGGGGCCAGGTGTGTACGAGGGCGAGTCTAGGACCTCCGAGAGCGGTTGCGCTTCTTGCTGCGAAAATCGATTAATTTCTGGGAGCGGATCTTGAGCTCCGCACGAGAAACCAGGTCGTTGTTATCGTCCTCGGTCTCCTCTTCGTCTGGGGGGCGGGAGAGGGGGGTCCAGGTTCCCAGCCCTGCTCAGATCTCCCTACCCAGCCTTTTAGACCCACCGCCCCTCCCACAGCCCGTTGCTCTGTTGGGCCCCCGGGCCCCCTCACCCACCCCCCTCTTTTCCCCCGCCCGTACTGACCGAAGAACTTGTCCTTGGGAATGGCAAGGGGGAAGGTGATGCGGGTGTTGTACGCGGGCAGCTTTCCCTCCAGGTTGGCGTAGAACTGGGGAGGAGGCGGGCGGGAGAGAAGACCGTGAGTGGGGCAGGGGCTACCGGGATATCCTGTTACCCCTCCCTCCCGCTCCATCCCGAGCTACCCTGGTTCCATACAGCCCCTCTGCCAACTCCTGTAGAACTTTACTCGGGCCCAGCTGTGGCCTTCCTTCTCAGCAGGCACCCTGATGCCCACCCCACCTCCTGTCCTCCCGCCAGGCCCGCCCCGGGTCCCTGGGCCCCGCCCCTTGGCGTCTCGAGGCTCCACCCCTGATGCCCACCCCACCCCACTCTGCCCTCTGACCTCCCAGTCCCATTCCTGGCCAGCGGCCTTCTCCCGGGTCTCCCTGGGGTTGCCGCGGCTCCCCGAAGCGCGCCCCCTCCCGGGGTACCTCGCGATTCGCGATGTGGCGCAGCATCTCCGGAATGTCCTGTCGGTCTAGCTGCGCCTGCAGCGCCAGCAGCTTCTCCTCCACCAGGCCCAGCAGCTTGGGCAGGTAGTCGCTGGCCTGGGGATCCAGCTCTTTCATGGCGGAGCCCCCGGCCTCCTGCGGCGGGGGAGGAGCTGTGTCAGTTCGGAGGGGTCGGCCTCGGACGGATTCCACCCGGAAAGGGGTTTTGCTTCCAGGGGTCAAGCCTTTGAGGGTGAGGGGCCACCCACAGGGGTGGCGCTATCGTCCCTAGGGCCGGGCTGCCGCTGCCTAGGGCCTTGGAACTTCAGACGCTGGGCAAGGGGTGGGGAGGTCTTTTTTTGAGGGGAGAGGAAGATAACCAGAGAGAAGCCATTGCAGGGATGACCCGAAGCAATGGCACTCTGGTGGGGCTTCTCCTGTCTCAGGGTGCTCCAGTATTGCAGCCGGGTCGCTGAGGTTTTGGGTTGGGGGACAAAGTGGGACTTTCCTCTGGGGGTGCGTCTTGAGGCAGCACAGCGTCTCTGAAGTCTTGGGCCACTTAGGAGTAAGGGGGTTACCCCAGGAACATGGGGTAAGGACTCCCTTCTAAGTGGCCTTCTGATGTCCTGGATGGGGCATGGAGGGGGGGTTCCTGTCAATGGGGCTATGGGGCGGACACCCCACCTGAGGGGCTAAGTCCTGGGTGGTTCTGGGTACTTCTTCCTCAGAGCCCTGGCGGCCCATTGGGAGGTGGTTCAGCTTGCCCGCCAGGTGCTCCAGGCCCTCCCTCAGGATTTGCATCGCCCACATGGCCTGCTTCAGCTCGGCCTGGGCCTTCGCCTTCCGCTGCTGCTCCACATTGAGGCTACTCTGCAACACGGCCTGCAGCCTCTGTTCACTGCAGAGAATGGAGAGAGAGCTGTGGGCGTGCAGAGGACCCCGGGCCCTCACCCGCTCCCTCCGGCACTGGGACCTCACCTCACTAGCATGGCCTCCCCTGAGTACTTGTGGTCTTCGAGCTCCTGCTGCAGCTGCTCCTTCTCTTGCTTCAGTTTCAGCAGCAGCTCCATGTTCTCATTCTTGAGCATCTCCAACTGCGTGAAGGTGTCGCTCTGCGCCAGGAACCGCCGCACCACCGCCTAGGGCCCACCCAACCCCCGTCAGAGCAGGGGCCTGGACAGGTCCAGCTGCCACCCTCCTCCTTAACCCCAGGGCAAGAAGAGCAGGTGGCTGAGCTGACAGCTTCTGCACAGTGATGCGTAGGGACTCTGAATAGGACTCAGGGCTGCCTCACAGGTGGGTAGCCTGGGACAAATAATATTTGCTGAGCCCTTCTCTCTCTATATCAGGAATTTGAGTCAGCCAAAAATCAGCGTGTGAGGCAGGGCAGCAGTGACCATAGCTTCTTTCCAAAATCAAGGTGCCAGCAACATTCTGGGGAGTGGGGGGGAATCTCGCCCAATCCCATGAGGAAATACTGGCCCGCTGTGGGAGCAATCCTGCCACCAGGCCAATTTCTGAAAAGGAACTGGTCACAGTGCCTCAGATGACACCATAGAGCCTGGAACCCTCGGGGGTCATCCCATGGGAAGCATGGAGGGTTGGGGAGTGCCCAAAGCGGGGGAAACAGACTGGGGTCCAGCAGGATCACTGTTTGCCAGCAGGGAACATAGAGTCTTAGAAAATTTCCAGCAAGACATTGCAAAAAAGGGGGACCAGGGCAGGGGTTTGGCTTGCCCAGGGCCTAGGGTGGCACTGGGCAGTTTGCTGGGCCCTAGACCATGTAACAGGTGATGGAGACACAGAAGAGACAAAACTCCCAGCTTTCACAGGGCCTCCAGGCCAAAGAAGTCAGGGTCAAAGGTGTAAGACTGAACGGAGGAGAGGAAATGTGAGTACAGACGGTGTGCATGGTTCTGTTGTAAGGGGCAGCAGAGAAATGCAGCGGTAGCTGAAGGGTTGTCTTTTAAGGAAGCACGTTTGTGTGCTGAGGAGTTGATCTGGGGCACAGGGCTGCGGGCAGCACTCACGTGCGTCTCGGCCACGCCAGTGGCGTCCTTGACCTTGCCGAAGAGCATCTCCAACTGGTACATGCTCCAGCGCAGCTTCAGGTCCTCCTCCTTGGCCTTCCGGTTGTCCTGGATCGTGTCTTCGGACTGCAGCAGCACGTGCTCTCGATGGGTCTGCTCCAGGTTGAGGTCAGGTCCAGGGTCAGGTTGTGGACAAGGGCTTAGGACAGAGGCCAAGAAAGGGTATCTGGACAGGGGTCAGGGAATAGGTGGGGTCCAGTCTGTGGTCCCGGGAAAAGGCTTAGGTCAGGTAAGGGCAGCCAAGCAGGGATCAGGAGTGCGGGACAGGGCCTTAGTCCTGGCACCCCCGGGTGCACCCACCTTGCGCTCCATGCGTTCGTTCTGCAGTTTCTTCTCGTCTGCGAGTTTCTTGAACTCGGTTACATAGTGCTCGCGGTTCTTGCGTTCTCGGAACACAGTCTCCTCCAGATACTGCAGCTGATTCTGGAGGGCAGGCAGGGGGACAGCAGGACCAGTTGGCATCTACCATGGCTCAGGGTCAGAGCCACAGGCCCAGCTGGGCCAGGTTGCAGGGTCCTGAGAGACACATAGGAGTGGCTCTGGGACAGCTGCGGTTCCGATGCTGGGGCCAGGAGACCATGGAGTCGGGGTAGGATTCCCAGGGACCAGTGAGCTGGTACCTTGGCAACGTTCTGGGTGTTGAGTGCCTCCTGGTTCACCACGCGCATCTCCTCCAGTTCCTGTTTTGTCTTCACCACCTCACTCTCCATGGAGTCCAGACGGTTCTCGAAGTGAAGGCTCTCTTCCTGGGGGTGAGGAATGGGGCAGGCCTGTAACCACTGTCCCGGGCCAAGCTGGCCCTCCCACTTGCCTCCCCGTCCCCAGCCATTCTGGTCCCTACCTGTAGATAGGCCTTGAGCTGCAGGTACACATTGGTGATGTGTTCCGCCTCCTCCGCCTTCATCCGAGCCTTCTCCAGACGGTTCTCCAGGTTCCGCAAGGTCTAGAGGGAAACAAGGCTGGGCTGAGTCCCCTCCACCCTTAGTTCCTCTTCCTCCCTAGATCAAGAGCCCCTTTTTACCTGTCCACCTCCCAGCCCTCCACACCTCACCGGCCGCACCTTAGCCATCTCAGTGTTGCTATCTTGCACCTCTTCCATCTCCAGCTCACGGAGGCTGTGCTGCAGCTGGAGCTCCTCCAGCCACTTCTGCCGCAATCCCATCTGGTGCCGCAGACCATTCCGTTGCTTCACCTTCTCACTCAGCCGGTGGTCCAGGAGCTCCAGGGCCTGCTGGAGGGAGGGGAGCGAGAGCAGGGGTCTGAACCCCGCCAGGTCCTTCCTGCAGAGCTTCCTTCTTCCATGTTTTGGTTCCCATCTACCTCTCTTGTCTCTGAACAGCATCTGACCCTCCTCCTGCAGGTTTTCTATTTTGGTGGCTTCCAGGAGCCCATTCCCTGGTTTTCCACCCACCTCCCATTTGCCCTGGTCTCCTCTGCCTTTGGAGAGACAGCCCCAGGCTCTTCTCTCCTCTGTCTACACCCACCCCCATCATGATCTCTTGTCCAGTCTCAGGGCTTTAAAGGTCACCTGTACACTGAAGACGCCCAAATTTAGCCTTCCCCTGTCAGGCTCAAGTGTCCATATCTACACTGCCTTCCAGATGTGTCCACGGGCACCTCACACCATTGTGACCAATTTGAGCACTTGATCTTTCGCCAAACCTGCCCTTCTCAGTGCTCCCATCTCCGCTCATGCTCGCTCTCCTTCCTTCCAAGTGCTCAAGTCCAAAACTGAAAACTGTCACCCCACTTCTTTTTCTCTTCCATCTACATACAAGTTGTTAGCAGTCATCTGTTCTATTTCCAAGGTTGCCCCCAAGATTCTTTCTTCCTGTCTACAGCTTTCACCCTAGTGCATCCAACACCATCTCTCACCAAAACGACTTCCTCCTGGCTTCCGCTCTCGCTCTCTCTCAGTCATTTCCCACTTACCTGAGTCTTAGCATATAAAATCCGCTCTCTTCATCATGGCCTGCTGCAAGACTCGGCTGCTGGTGACTTCCCCGACCCCCCTCCTACCAGGCTCCCCTCCCTCCCTCCCATCTAGCCACACTGGCCTCCAACACTTCACACTTGTTCCTACCCCAGGGACTTTGCATTTGTTGTTCCCTCTGCCTGGGGCATTCCCCTCCCTCACCCCAGCCCTCTACCCCCAGATCATCTCCTGCCTGGCCCATTTTCAGCTCAAGCATCCCATCGGAAAGAGAGGGGTCTTTGCTGACTCCCACTCCACAGTCAAAAGTGCAAATTCCTGTCCCAGTGGGGACTTGGTCTGGTTTTTTTTCACTGCACGATCAACAATACCTAATACCATGCCAGGCACATGGCTGACATGTGATAAAAATTAACTGTATGAATACATGAGTGGCGGAGGGTAGGGAGAAAGGACTAGAGGGGGAGGGGGAGAAGGGAGGGAGTCCTGTGGGGAGGGGACCCAGGCTGGAAATGAAGGAGATTGTCAGTGGAGTAGGGGTGGGGCAAACCTGTCCTGTCCTGTTCTTCAGGTATGGCTTCTCTGACTTCCAGTCCTGAATCACTGCCTGGACCACTTTCTCTTCTCCCTGCAAGGAGAGGAACCCAGTCACCACTTACCCAGGCCACCTCTACCTGAGGCAGTGCCCTGTGCTGGGAGTGCTGGTGCTGCCCCTGGAACCTCTTTTCCCACTGCTGCACCCTCACCTGGAGCAGGTCCCTCAGCTGTAGTTGCAGCACCCTGTTATCCTCATGTAGCTGGTTCATGGTTTCCTGATTCTTCTTGATGTTCCACTGGGTGCTCTCATAAAAGGCCTTCCGATCACTCTCTGGGGTCAAGTGATGTGGGCAGGTACAAGCAGAGCATCATGGGGGTGGGAAAGGCTTCCCAGAGGGATAGCCTTTTTGCAGTCATCAATTTAATATTATAATAATACTTTGCTTGGAGCATTTATTATGTGTTGGATGCTGAACTAAGAACTTTCCAGGTATAAAATACAGTATGCCAATAGGTGCATATCCACATCATACCCATTTTATAGATGAGAAGACTGAGGCTCAGGCTTATTAGATTGTTCAAGGTCACAAACAGTCTGACTCTTGACCTTCAACCACTGCAAGATTTCCCCTATTAATAATAAAACAATAATGGTTTACACCAGGATTTCCCAACCTCAGCATGACTGATACTTGGGATGTACAGTTATTTACTGTGGTTAGTTGCTCTCTGCATTTTGGTTTGTTGAGCAGCATTCCCGACCTCCACCCTCTAGATACCAGCAGCACCCTCCCACCCCTAATAAAGTGACAACTAAAAATGTCTTTAGCTTTGGCCAGTTAGCTTAGTTGGTTAGAGCATTGTCCTAATCAACCTTTTGTCTTCACCACCTCACGGTTGTGGGTTCGATCCTCGGTCAGGGCACATCCAAGAATCAACCAACAAATGTATAAATAAGTGGAACAACAAATCGGTGTGATCTCTCTCTCTCTCTCTCTCTCTCTCTCTCTCTCTTTCTGTAAATAATTAATTAATTATAAAAGCCTCCGGACTTTGCCAAATGTCCCCTGGGGAGCAAAATGGACCTCTTCCATTGAGAACCACTGGTTTGCAAGTTATAGTGTGTTACTATGTGCCACTGCTCTAAGTACTTAACACATTTTAACTACCTATGGTGTTGTACTGTTATCCCCATTTTACAGATGGAGAAACTGAGAGCAATTAGGTTACTCTTAGTGCCCAAGATCAAACATTAGTATATGCAGAGCCAGGGTTTGAGCCCAGAATGTCTGTCCCTAGGATCTATGTTTTTCACCACTCCACACTTGATAGAGAGCTGAAATTACACAAAAGTATGAAATACAATCCAGTTGACTCCCGAGTCCAGGAAAAGCTTTTGCTTTTGTTAATCTTCACCCAAGGAAATGTTTTCCATTGATTTTTAGAGAGAGTGGAAAGGAGGGGGAGAGGCAGACAAAGAGAGAAACATGTGAGAGAGACACATCGATTGGTTGCCTCCCCCAAATGCTCCGACCCAGGCTGGGGATCCAGCCTGCAACTGAGGTACATGCTCTTGACCTGAATCAAACCCCGGACCCATCAGTCGGAGGGCCAATGCTCTATCCACTGAACCAACAGGCCAGGGCCAGGAAGTTTTATGAGATGAGTTTTTACCGCCAGCACTGATCACCTGGATGAATGCTGTGAAGCACCCTTGCCACACCATGCCTGGTCAGAGGGCTGGGTGGACACTGCTGACTAGGGGCCATTTGATGCCCTTTGGAGCCCTCTTACCTAATGCTTGTATCTTCTTTTGTATCTCAGCCATCTGCATTTGGAGAGCGACCTTCCCGGGGCTGGCATAGATGGGTCCCTTGGAAGGGACTGGAGGCCAGGCCTGCCCCGCGACCTTGCCTCTAGGGCGGCTTTTGGCCTGATCTTGACTGCGCTTGGACTTGGAAGAAGTCGGAATCTGGTCCTGAGAAGGCACCGTGGCACTGGTGGCGGCCATCCAGCACAGGGGAGACGTCATGATTGGGTTGGGGACAAAGGCTCCAGGGGGCTGGGGGGGCGCCGGGGAATCGCCTCTGTCCGGGATCCGTCGGTTCGGGTTTCTGTGGCTGAAAAAGCACTTTCCTACCGTTTGGCTGGGCCGAGCAGCATCTCCGGATTGCTAGGTAACCTCCTCCCCGCCTTCCTATGCGCTCCCATGGAAACCGTCCGCGTTCGGCACCACTGCTCTCATTGGCTGGTGCTGCGGAGGGGCGGGCCCAACAGGGGGCGGAGCAGAGTCGCGCCGCCTCACGATGGGGGAGGGATCTTTAGAGTCACGTGTTCGTCTTTTTTTTCCTCCTCCCACCCCAAACCCACCGGGTGTTCGCGCGTTTTTCAGGAACTTTCTTTTGCGATTGTAGAACCCGCCACTCCCAAGATGGAGGCACCTTGCGCCGCCATTAAGCGCAAACCTTCAGAACTCTAAGGCTTCGTAGTCCTATCCAAGATGGCCGTCCGGGTTCCGGCATCTCACGTGCCACTCCCAGCATGGCGCCTCCGAGCCGCCGTCCTGGCGCTCAGCGTGTCACAGGAAGTGACGCATCCACACACTTCCGCTTTTTTTCTGCTGGAAGAACTGTGGGCTGCTGGGCTCGGGGGGCGCGGTGAATACTGACCTTTGCCCTTGCTTCGTGTAAGTGATGCATTAGCGGGCCGGTGGGAACCCCAATTTCCTGTTGAGGTACCTGAGGGTGTGCGTCGGCCGAGGGGGAGGCTCTTCACTCCTTCGGCCTATTGGCGGGAATTGGTTGGCTCGCTCTCCCCCCCTGTGGAGCGGAGGTTTTGAGATCCCACCATTGAGACGAGCCAGGTTGGAAAGGTATCGTCCGATATCTTTTCCCATGAGCCCCCATTGCCCGGAAGCGGTGGAGGAATCCAATTGGCTGGAGGGAGCCCTCGGCCGCTGACCGGCAGCTCCCTCCTTGCAGCGCGTCTCCCCGCAGCCGGCTTCCTCCCCCGAGCCCGTTTCCGGCCTCCGAGCCTCTAGCGAGATGTTTCTGCTGGTGCTGCTGCTCCCCGCGTGCTGGGCCGTGGAGGTCCGGCGGCCTCGGGGCGTCTCCCTCACCAGTGAGTCCGCCGCCGCGTGGGGGGTCGGGTTGGAGGGGCCGCTGTGGCTCCTCGGGGAGGCACTTACAGCCTCTGGCCTCCGTGTCCCTGCCTCTGGGTGGGGAAGGTGGCAGCGCTCAGCAATGGATGGAAGCAGAGGTGCCCTTAGGTTGGGGGGCCTCTTCCCGCGCTGGGCTGAGTCTCTTGCTCCCCCCAGACCATCACTTCTACGATGAGTCCAAGCCTTTCACTTGCCTGGACGGCTCGGTCACCATCCCTTTTGATCAGGTCAACGATGACTACTGCGACTGCAAGGACGGCTCGGATGAGCCGGGTGAGTTTTTCCCATCCATCCATCCATCCACCATCGATCCATGCATTGCACAGGTATTGGGCGCCTGCGCAGTGCCAGGCCTGTGTGTGACTACGACAGGACTGCTCCCTGCTGACTTAATGGGGGAAGCAGGCACAGGAGCAAGTGGTCGTTGGTTTGGTGCTGAGAGCCACAGGCAGGGTGGGAGCTCAGAGAGGCCCCCACCTGACCTGAGGGCTCGGCAGGGCCTCCTGCAGGGTGCTGCACGTGGAGAGGCCTGTGGGCGACAGGGACTGGTGAGGGCGGGGGAGGGGGAGTTGGTGGGCCTGTTCTCAGGGTCTTGGTGAAGAGAGTCAGGAGGGGGCCTGGGAGAATTCCGTCCCAGACCCTGAGTGTGCAGCTGTCTCTCTTCCCCTTACTGGCACTGGTCTACTTGTGCTCTGTGTGTGCGTGTGTGTCGGGGCTTCTGTCGGGTGGATGTGAAGGGGTAAGGCCTGTGCACTGGGAAAACTCCCCTCCCTCTTCCTTCTTCCCCAAGGCACGGCCGCCTGTCCTAACGGCAGCTTCCACTGCACCAACACTGGCTACAAGCCCCTGTACATCTCCTCCAGATGGGTCAACGATGGAGTTTGTGGTAAGTGAGATCCCGCTGGGCTTGGGGACGGGGGACGGGAGTGGGGCGGGACTGGGGTTGGGGAAGAGGGGAGTGGAGGAGGAGGAGACACTGCTACGCCTGATGGTGCCCCCTCCTCTGCCCTAAGACTGCTGCGACGGGACGGACGAGTACAATAGTGGGGTCGTCTGTGAGAACACCTGCAGGTACGGGGGCGCCCCCCCCCCCCAAACCCCAGGACCTTGCCTTGCCCTGTCCGGTGAATCAGGCCCCCTCTCTTTTCTGTGTTTGAGCATCAAGTGCTCAGTCTGTGCCTTGTGAAGGCTCCCTCTGGCCGGGAAGCAGGTGCAGTCATGTGCGTGTTCAACAGGTCGAAAAGCTCCAGTTTAGAAGGAGAATGATTTCTTTGGGGTCACGTAGCTAGGAGAGAGCAGAGCTGCTACTCGAACCCAGGACAGCCTGACTTGAGACTCCGTGCTTTTAATTGCTATACTGGAGCAGGACCTGGAGACTGAAATGGCAGGCAGGTCATCTGAACGCCAGAAGCAGGCTGAGCATAAGGCAGCAGGAGTGGTGGGGACGGTGGCATCCAGAGGGGCAGCTGCCCTCAACTCCTGTCAGTTGAAGGCAGGTGATAAGGGCCTGATTGGTTTTTCAACGAAACCAAATGTTTATGTATATGAG